TCCTGCTGACATCAGTATGTCCTTTCTCAGTGGCAGAGCAAGAGCAAGACCCTACCTAAGATCAAAGCCTCCGAAGTCTGGCTCTGCACTGCCTGCAGGACCAGGACACTTTCATTTCTCTGCTGGTACTGTCCAAGCCCCATGCTTCCTCATTGCACATAGCACCCATGCCAGCCCCACTCAAAGGAGGGTTGCAAACCTCTCCTCTCAGTACTCCGCTTACTTGTGACTTCAGAAATAGTTTTAATGATTTATTAAGTACCTTTATTAGAGTAGAACCTGAGACAAGGACTTGGTTTTGCTAGGTGCTGCATAAACACAAGACAAATGGGTAGCCTCTGATAATTTACAATCTCAATAATTAAAACAAGAGATCACAAGCAGCAGACATGGAGTACAAAGGAGCAATAAGAAAAGACAGACCATTCTCTGGTTACACAAGAAAAGTGACAGCTGCTGTTTCCTAAAGGGACCTTAACATCAAGGTTTTAACATTATGGGTTTTTTCCATGCTTCCTTTCTTTTCTTGTTTATCGTTTGATGCATTACTTCGCTTTGCTGCCCGCATAAATGCATCTTCTGGGCAAAAGCATTAGCTAACATTTGTTAACTTTGTGATTCCTAAGGTCATGGAGTTTGAAATTTTTGGTTGTACCTTAACAGATATACTTGTTACTACTGCTACGAGATAGATGTTATGCACAACTGCTGAATGTCACTCTCCTTTTCTCCCAGGGGTGGCAGAATAAATTATTTGCGTTTGAGTGCTCCTGTCACTCTAGTGAAGCATAGTATTAATTCAAAACAGCCAAAAGGAACTACTGGATAGACTGGCTGAAAGACTGATCTCTTTTATGAGTAAGACTGAATTAGCAAGAAAATACCCTTATTTTCCTAGGCTAGTGATTACCTCAAATATAAAGTAAGCCTGAGGCTATTTCTCCTACTTCTAGTATAAAACTACGAATCAAGATATTAGAAGACATCAAGGTTGTGAAGTGAGTGACTCCTAAGCTAGGGAATGTCAGAGGAAAAGAATTAACTCATCCTATATGTGCACTGCATTTCAGTCTTGCATTATCACAGCACTGCAAGGGTATCACAAAACCTGACAATGAAGATCATGACAACCCCAAAGCCTAGACTGAAAAATCAGATTTTATGATGCTTCCTCCTCCATGGGAATAGCATATTGTTGAAACAAACTGAATAGTCACCTAGTACTTCCTTTCATCCTCCTTTAAGTGTGGGGCTTCAGGTCTTTTTAATTGCACATTATCTAAAGCTTGCCCTGAACATATATAGGCTTGTCTACTAATAAACTTCTTAATAATACGCTGACATATTCCAGTATTTTACTATTTTGGAAGTATCACAGAATTAATTTTTCCAGCATACAGGGAAGTAAAAGTAGTGGTATAATTCTCTTTTACCCATGGGAAAGATTACAGGGACTTGAACCACTGAATATCCACCAATTTTGTCAACTCAGTGCAAGAGACATAGAATCTGATTTACTCGGAGTATCTACATTATTTTTAATCTTAAGAAGTTTATATAAGCTTTTATATATTCAAAACACAGCTTCCATCAAAGTAAACAGCAAGAAAAAGTGATGAGAACTTCTGCAAATGCACTGCCAGGTAGATTTCAAGAAAATAACACGCAGTTAGGTCATCATCAGTGAGAGTATGGTTTTTAGATTATTTGTCCCGCAGTCATCCCAGCAGGTCAAGAATGACAAACGTAGGAGCGGAATCCAGTTCATCAGCTTTGAATTACCACACTCTTCCTACTAACTGAAATCAACACTTTGCTACTTTTGTCACCAGCTCGCTCACCACACGTGATTTACCCGCCAAGCACAGATGTTCATGAAGTGGTAGCAGAAAAATCGTAACTTGGCACAGGGTAAGGCATTAATGCAGAACCAGAACAAGGGTCACACCTGCCAGGAACAGGGCAAGGCCTTAATGCGGAACTTGTCAGATGAGCAAACGTCACAACCATTTAACAGTAAGAACGGTTAAACACAGATGAAACTGTGTGTTTTTCTTTAGTTCTGTCATTTAAAAAATAAGAGGTATTACAAAAGAACTATTAAACAGTCAGCAGATAAAGACAAATCAGATTCAGACAAGGAGCCATCATGAAAAACGCATCTATGTCTTTACCTTGGCAAAATGGGACTTTGATGGGCTGACTGCATTTTTTTTAAAAAACCCGAAATTACAGACAAAGAGTGGCTGCTTAAAGAGTATTGCAGGGCGGTGAGATTATACCCAAACTATCAGCGCCGGTGGGCAGGCAGGTGCTGCTTCCAGCGCTCTGGCACCTCCGGCCTGGGGCCTGCATCCCTCTGGGTCCGGCTGGAGTCTGACTGGAGAAGTGAGGACCCACGGCAGCCACGCAGCACCCAGCTCTCCCGCCGCTTTTCCTCGCACAGCTGAAGGCACCGACCGGGGAGCTGATGCTCTGCACTGCCCTGCTGGAGCGCCCGGCCTGCAGCGCTACCCGCAAGGCCTGCAGCCCCGGGGAAACCTGCCGAACGCCGGCGCCCGC